ATATAGACAAATATATAGTCTCAACATGTATTCAAATGTATATAATCTCAACATACATATTCAATATATATAATCTCAACATATACATTCAAATATATATAATCCCAACATATATATTCAAATATATATAATCTCAACATATATTCAAATACATATAATCTCAACATATATTCAAATATATGTAATCTCAACATATATTCAAATGTATATAATCTCAACATATATATTCAAATATAATCAACATATATATTGAAATATATATTTTTGGAAAACATTTTACCATCTTGGGGGCGATTATATATATATTCTCTATATATATTCTACACACACACACACACACACACACACACACACATATTCTCTCTCTTGAAAAGCGTTTACCGCGCTCTTGCGGACAAATCATTTCCTTGCCCCTCATCACTGGTTTCCCACCTTCTCCACAGTCCGGCCCCTCCAGGCGGGCTTCTGTTCGCGATTGATCACCAGGAATCTGTCCCTGAGAACAGGCACCGCCTGTCGAACTGAGCCCTCCAGTGCTGGACAGCGCGTTCCAGGGTGAGAGGCCTGCAGATTCCAGTCCTGCTGACCGCCAGTGGGCGAGAGAGGAGACCTCCCTTTACAGATCGCTATCACAAACCGTTTTTACCCCCCACCCCCATGCACACACACAGTCCACTGCGACGGGGAGGGGCTCTGATCCTTAGCAGTCCTGCAGGACAGAATGTCGCTGCCCATGGGGTTTGGGAGACTGAGTGTAAATCCTGACCGCCACACCTGGCTTGCTTCTCCACCTGAGTTTGCACGATGGGTCTGAAGGTTCCACCTTGCGGTTAGGTGTCCAGAGGATGCGGCACAGCGTCACCTGCCACTTCTGTGTCCACGTCCACATTTTCCTCCCATTTTGTCCACAACATCCTGCGGTGGTCGCTCTCAAAGTGTTCAGCCCTGGTCGTGGACACCCATTTTTAGCTCCAAGGAAATAAAGTGTTTCTTTCAAGAGGATGGTGGGAAAGGGCAAAAGAATGCATTTATTTCAGACCCCAAAATGTTTTTTTTTCCCCTCTGCGGAATTAACCAGGAGCCCTGGGGCACGGTGAGGGTCCCAATCAACATAGTGCTCATATGTTTATTTTTATTTTGGAAGGATAATTTTTTAAATGCAGAGGATTAAATGATTTTGAATGCTCATCAACCTCTGTTCCAGACC